ATATATATATATATATATATATATATATATATATATATATATATATATATATATATATATATATATATTATATATATATATATATATATATATATATATATATATATGATTTTGAAGGTGAAAGTCATTTACATACTTCCGGGAATATCTATGATGTAAACATTAATACATTGAATGAATTTTATGATTTGTCCGAGAAGGAATTCCAATTCTGGAATACTTCGATAATACGTTGAAAATGTGAAAGTGAATATTATTTGAAGATAAAGAAAGTAAAATATTTTAGCAATCATAAAACGAGCATGTATATTAACATTAAAGGTTGTGATATCGTGATATCGTAAGTGATACGTGATATACGAGCATACAATATTCTTTTACGTTTAATTCTTATAATTCAAGAAATCAGTTGCAAAATTAATGATTATCCATGAATAAGAAAAGATTAAAGTAAATGAATGAATTAACCAAAACGAAAGCATCATTTGCTTTTTTTCTTTTTTTTTTTAAAGTCATTTTCTTCTAAATAATATGTTAAATGTTTCCTTACAATTAATTGATTCCAAAATTTGTTATTCATTTTTCGAAATTTTCATTCTTTTTCTTTTTTTCCCTAATGCGAAAAGAAAAAGGAGGAAAGATGAAAGAAACGTTTCCTTATTGAGGGATAATTCCGGCCATTTTATTTAATTAATTTTAAATGAAATGAAATCAAATATCATTTATCCTATCTAATAGTTCAATTAATTCAATTTTCATTCATATTATCCGTTGTTATTGTTGTTGTTGTTGTTGTTGTCGTTGCTGTTATTGCTAGAGATGAAAAAGGATAATATATCAAATCGATTGACATAAGAGTAATTAATTGTTTACTGACATTGGTACAACTTCGATAGTTACTATTATTACAGGTAGGCAAATGTATGCTACTGCAATACTTTAACTATTACTATCTCCTACTGCTAGTATTACTATTACTACTATAATTCTTTAACTGCTGCTATTACTACAACAACAACAACAACAACAGCAACAACAACAACAACAACAACAACTACTACTACTACTAATACTAATACTAATACTACTACTAATACTAATACTAATACTAATACTACTACTACTACTACTACTGCTACTATTACTAATATTACTGCTGCTATTATTGCTACTACTATTACCACTAATATTACCAGTATAATTACTACCACCACCATTACAATTATTACTATTGTCTGTCCTTTGAGCCGAATCTATTTGCTTTCTACATGATAATTTAATCTAATAATATATTCTCTTTTATTTACTTGTTTTTTTTTGTAGTTCAGATTTATTGGTTATTTCCGATATTCCATTTCTCAGTAGCCAAGGTTAACATGAAAATAATCGAAATTCTCACACGAAATATTTCCATTTTTGTTTTTAATTTTAGCTTATTGTTGCCAATTCATTCAAATAATCACATTATAGTAATTTTTTTTTTTGGAACATAATATATTTTAATTTGATTTTTCTTTTATTCCTATGTATTTCAACTGGTTTATTTTTAATTCCTTACATATACATAATATATAATTTCAAATATATTATTTGTTCATTTCTTTTTCTCCTCTTCTCTCTCCCTCGTATATTTCCAAAATGAATTAGGTAAAATTCATTGTCGTATCATTCAGAGGTTACAGTATGCTTCTTCAAATAAGTTAGCTGAAACAATGCATTAGAAGTATCCCATTGTGATTGCTTAACTTCAGCTAATCAAATAAAAACCATTTGTGAGATATCGTTTTATAGTTTGTTTGAGTTATTCAGAAATGAGATAAAAAGGTAAAATGATGGTGTGATGGATAGGAAGACGAAAAGGATGACACGGGTCATGTAATGACCAAAGAGCGGGAAGATAAACGAGAGAGCGGGAAGGTGGACGAGGAAGCTGGGAAGAAAAGAAGGTAAACCGAGGGGATAATTGTTGGCTTGATGATTGAAATAGAATCGTTTATGTATACATTTCCTATTAACATTTTACAATCGTATCAGACTTCTTCCTATGCAATTTCATTATAGTTAATTGCAACCTTTTTCTTTTTTTTTTTTTTATTCTATTAAAGTTTTTGAATTTATTAAAAATATTTCTCACAAATAGTAAATGATTAATTATCGAGTAAATACTGATAATTTCTCTCAGATATCACTTATCAATGTCATTTAACATTTTATCAAATATCATCATTTATCTTATAGCATGTTTATATATTTGTGGTGAATTAAAAAAGGAAAAAATCATTGCTAAGATAATTAATCAACGTTATCCTTAACAATTATAAATTATTTTTATAATTTCCAACTTTTTAAAGATACTTTTGTTTGAATAAGTTTTGTTATCTTTTAACAGTATGCTTGATGATATGAAATTTTATCTTACAAATGATACATTATTAATGATACTAATAAGTATGAAACAACATATTTCAAGTTTTTAACCATTTATTTTTGCTTCCAATCAAAAATTTCATATTAAATTTAAAAAAGAAATTTTCTAATGTTATTCAAGTTGTGAAATCATGAGAACGTTATCAATGATAAGTTTGTATGTTTGATTGTTCTGTTTATGCGTAAGGGGGGGGGGGGGGAAGAGAGGGGCTTGTTTAGTCATCAAATGTTAATTGATTTCCGGTCCTTTTTTAGTTCAACATTGATTCACTTTAGTCTGAATAAATATTCTTCCAATTCTATCATTTCATTTGCATTCTATCCTTCATTTTTTTTTTTTCTCTTCCTCTTCCATTTGCATATCATTTATCATCATTTACTCTGGCATATTATTGAAATTGAATTTAAGTTTATTTTTTTTAAACCACCAAAAAAAAAAACACACCGTTTGCTATCATCACTTAATGTGACTAAGTGAAAAAGTTGAATATGAAGGAATTTCGATACATTATTAATTTTTAACTTTTCATATTAATTGAATTTTTGAATTTCATTAAATTTTAATTCGCAAATTTCACATATCCAATGATGGTATGGATGGAATATAACAAATGTATTGGAGGGGAATATCCCAAAATACAATCCAATATTTTTCCATATAGCATCGTTGTCGTGAATATCAAATAAGCATATGTTTTAAAAGAAAAAAAAATTCCCTTTTACCATAAGGGTAATCGAATTTGAGGAAAGTGGTTGAGAAATGGACGAGGGAGGGCAAAAAGGGTTATAAATCGGAGTGGACAAAGAGTAATTCCATATAAAGCGGAGGAGAAGAAGGAGGAGGTAAAAAGAAGAGCAAGAAGGTTACGAAAAGGGTACCGATATTATTGTTATTATTATTTCTTGCAGTCATCATCATCATCATCATCATCATCATTATCATCACCATAACCATCATTGTCGTCGTTGTCATCATCCTCCATCATTATCATCATTATCGTTTTATTTCATTTTAGTTATACAAAACTTTTAGTTTGCGGGAGGTTGGGAAGATTTGAAGAAGGAACAAATGGGATGATATACGAGAAGGTGAGAAATGGTTAAATGGAATATAATGGACAAATTATAGTAATAATAATAATACGATAATAAATCATTTAACTGTTACTTTAACCGTTGACAGTTTCCTTCTTCATATAACTTCTGTATTTTCAATTTACATCATAAAAATAGCTCATTTGAATTTAATCAAATTTGTTCATATTTTATGGAAATAAAAATTTCAATGACTTAATTTGTCATATCAAAGAATTTTAATTAATTTAATTAATTATGTCAATGATTAATCTAGTGATGAGATAACATGCAAATGATAATTGTAGAATGGAAGAGGAAATGATATCGTTTTAAATATGTTATGGGGATATTTTATAATTTTTTAAAGAAATTATTTCAAATATCACGTGAAGCATCAATTAAGTATATAAAGGAGTGATTTGTCAGATATATCTGATTAAGTGAAACATTTTGAAATTTTACTTTCATTTAGTAAATTTGGGAAAAAAAATTAAATCGGTCAGTATTAATTTCTAAATTTTATTCCATTTATGATGACAGAAAAAAAAAAAACAAGTCAAGATATAGCTAAATTTAATCAATTCTTCATAAATTTTTTTTTCTTTTTTGTTTTTAAATAGTATAATATGTATTTTTCAGAAAAAAAAGAATTAATTTTTTTTTTTATCTTTAAGATGAAAGAGTAAAAGTCAAAATCAACAAAGGTTTCTATTTAATGGCACTAATTAGTGCTATAATTGGAAACAAATAAAGACAGCTGTTTCAGTCAAAATTACTCATTATATCGATGATATATATATGCATGAATTTTTATTGTATCTTTTCGTCTTTCTGTCTGTGTCGTATTGTAGCAATTCATAGATGTGTTGAAAATTTAAATTAATGAAATTTCATTTTGGGCATTAAATCTGTTATTGATGGATGAGAAAAAGAAAATGTCACCAAATTGATTTTGCTTCACTTAATGCTGTGTCATTTTATTTGCAATTTTTGGAAGAATTGCAAATTCACCAAATTACTTCGATATAATAAATAATTTTTAAAAAAGATAAACAAATTAACTAATTGCCAAAAAAAAAATTAGAAATCTTCACAAATAGTTAAAGAATTTTTCAACCTTTAATAAGTTACTTTTTTTTTCAACGTAAGAATAAAAAAATAGAAAAAAAAAGATAATTTCATTATTGCTTGAATTTCTTGACAATTTAAATCGTTGTTTCCTTCATTAAATTAATTCTTGGTTTAACTTCAGATTAATTAATTATAAATTTAAAAGGACTTTTGTGAAATATTTAGGGAATAAAAATAAAAACAGAAAAAGGAGGGGAAAAAAAAAAGTTTATTAAATGAATTACAATATTCGAACAGCAGAATAAACTTTGCAATTTGAAATGATTCATTATTGATCGGAAAAAAGTGAAATTTATTAGGGAAGAATTACAATTATTCCATGATATGAAATGATTCAGTGTATTTTTAACTGTATTACTTTTAAATGTTGTATGGTTTTAATAATCCATTCATTTCCTTTTGTTACCTAAAATTTTAAAAAATTTTTAAGAGTCAATTACCTGAAATTTTAAAAATTTTGCATAACCAATTAATTACTTAAAACATTAAATTTAATTTCTTTATTTTTCTTATATTTTCCTCCCTTAAATAAAAAAAAAAATCCATCTTTCATTATTTTTCTCATCTTTTTGCTACAGTTATCATTTTCTTATCACTCTTTTTCCTTCTTTTTTTTTTTTTCTCTTTCTTTTCTACTAAACTAATAAACGTGGTAATTCGTTT